AGATTCCGGTTATTAAATACTTATTTGTAACGTAGTTTAAAATTTGTTCCTCTTCATTAAAGATTTTGTAGAATGTGATATTTAATAGCGTAGAATTAAAAAGATAGATTAAAAATTATTATGGACATGTAAATTCCATTACGATATGGAAAATGTATATCATTTTTTCATATATATTGTATCATAAAAGATATATATTTCTACATAGTTTAATATTTGCTTCCTGTAATTTAACTTAATAATAATTTCGAGTTATATTAATTTCGATTATTGCATAATTATTTGATATTTCGTATAGTCGAATATTCGTTTTTTAATTTTTTTAAACCATGCAAGTACGTTTGACTAACGCGCAAAAAAGAATCGATATAACTTTTTATTTCTTGAAATTTTTTTCTCTGAAAATAAATTCCGATTTTTATTAGGAATTGTTCATTGCTATTGCTTTAAAAAACAATTATTTATTTTTGTAATTGCTGTGTTCTAGTAATTAATATTTTTGATCATTTAGTCAGTTGTCGCTGCTTTGAACTTTAAAAGTTTTTCATGAAAGATTCATCAAAAATTATCAAAGATTTTTAATGCAGATCGGGCAGTTGAATAAATATATAATGCACATATTTTATCGCGATTTTTATATTGTACAAAATATGATGCGACATATCACGCTCACTGCGATTTTTAGGAAAGATTGCAGCTGCATTGCGCAATTTTGAAAACCACATATCTCTATTTATGAGACATGTATTCGCGGCAAAACATGCCAATGACAACTTGTATATTCGTCATTAATAATAATTCATACACACTCGCGAACTGAAAAACGTCCAGTTATAGCTACCAAATATTGAGTGAAATAGTTTCAACTAAACGTTAAGGTAATATAAGTAAATCGAGAACTAAATATAACTTTATCTTTACAAATATTTAGTAAGCATTATCAAATGGTATTATCAACGGTAATGCTTATAAATATTTGTAAAAATAAAGTTGTGCTTAGTTATATTTCAACATTTAGTTGAAACTATTTCACTCAATATTTGATAGCTAAAACAGATTCTTTTTTCCAGCGGAGAGTTATTAAAAAGGAATAAAAACAGTGTAGAGTTTATATGAGGTGAAAGGAAGCTGAGCTTGGTATTAACACTTTAATATAAAGAAGAACTGTACAAATGTGATCTCGTGTGAACTTTGATATCTTTTGGAACACAACGCGTTCAATTCTTTTTCTTTCGATCTCTTTACTCGACTCCCCATGCGGCTCTGTTTTCGTTCATGTTCTCTATGTCTTGTCCAATCGATTCGTTTAAATACAATTATTCATTTTATTCCGCAAAAGATGTCTTACAAGGAATAATGATACTGATATCGTCTAAAAATCTAGTTTTTTTTACAAATATACATATTGTTCCGATGCAATGGTTTTAATTATTTTTTAATTACGATTAAAAATAATTAAAATAAAGCACAAAGCAACAATAAAGCACATTATTGTAATGCAGTTGATATTCTATTAAACATTCGTTTTGTTTTCCTACCTCTATTATGCTCGCGTGTAATCATTTAATACATCGTATTGTACACTGTAAATGTTTACCGTATTAATAGCTGATTATTATATTACATGACATCATTGATTTCTGTTTCAGGGATCAGCGAAGCAATCGTGCAACTGCAGCAACCGAAATTGCCGTCCACGATCCACATGGACAACGAGATCGAGCTCCGGTGTCACGTCGACGGTTCCGGCGACATGAAATACGAGTGGTTCAAGTTGGTTGCTTCGTCTATTTTAACTTTGTCTATTTACCTGAGCGTCTCGCGCGTGATAACCGGGGGCGAGGAGAGAGAGAGAGAGAGAGAGTAATTAGTACCGGAAAATCTAAGCGGGATGCGCAATGAGCAACACGGGGATAGACCGAAACGAAGGGAGCAAACTACTAAGTTTCTAGCGTAACTGACACCCGACGTTTACAGGACCGACCTGGTGAATTATGAAGTGGCACTCCCTCGCCCCGACGTGCACCATCGAGAGTTTCACCTCCGTCGTCATTTTGAATCATCCCCCTCATTGTAAACCCGCGACGCCTGTTCCCCGTAGAATTCGTCGTGCATTCGGTGGAGTTTAATGTCGCAGTTGTGTCACACGATGAAAATATCACGCATCGGAGAAACTTTTCCTTCAATATATTTTCGAACTGTCGTGTCTGTCATTATTTCTGAATTAAGGGCGAGAACGAAGTCAGTTATCGCGCAGGATTTATGTAACTTAATAGTCTGCCATAAAAAATAAGATTGGAGCACAAACCTTTGCATAATACATGAGACATAATAAGAGAATCAATCGATCAGAATCCTTTATTTTTGGAAAGGAAGAAAATAATTTTGATCGATTCATTTCTTATTCAATATGCGTTATGCGAGAGAAGAATCACGTGTTGCAAAAATCGATTTAAATTTCACATAAAAATGGAGACTTGGCTTGTCAGATAAATTTCTGTTTGAATATAGAAATGACACTAGTGAATCTTGTATATCTCAAATTGAAAATGATTCGAGTCGGGGATCGACTGTTCGTTTTACAGGAACACAGTGAGCGTGGCGAAAAGCGATCGTGTCGAGATCAAGAAAAAGAAACTGCACATACATAGAGCAATTCCAGAAGACAGCGGCATGTACACCTGTGTGGCCAAGAATGAGGCAGGAGCCTCGCCAGTGACTGACAGCTATCCGTTAATCGTTTCCGGAAATGAGACTGCAACGATTAAGGATGTTCCGAGAAACCTGATTACTAAACGCGGTGAACCGGCTGTTTTGCACTGTGTCTTCGAGAACGCCGACGAGGTGCAGTGGTTCTTCAAGGAAATCGGTCCGCTGGAATCCGACGAGGAGCGAACGATCTTCGAGAACGGCACTCTTTTAATACGCGCTGCCGATCTTAGAGACCAGGGATTCTATTCCTGCCATGGAATAAGAGATGAAATCACAGTCAGTTATACGGTCGAATTACAAATTGCCTGTAAGTATCAATCGATTTTCGATAGACCAACGATAATAGAATTAAAACTAAAAATAGACAAGAGATAATGAAATAATATAAAAAGAAAAATAATTAAATAACAATAGCTAGTAGAATATATTTCGATCACAAAAGTCTTAAATGTTTATAATGCATATATGTATTAATCTGTTCGAATTATAGTATTTTAATATAGCATTTTAAACAAATTGATAAATATAATAGTATAAAATAATAATTATTGTAATATTTTGAAATAAATCTTCTTGATACATTAAATGAATATAAATAAAATTTGCAGATTTACTGAACTTTTCGGTGGCTGCTTTCGAACCAAAACGTCCAACTCAACTGGCGATTGTTGGTGAAGATCAAGAATTCCAAATAAGTTGCCTAGAGCCTTTAGGGCTTCCTTCGCCCAAGGTTTACTGGAAAGATCCCACGGGACATATTATAAGCGATACCGGTCCCGTACGCGTTCAAGATAACACGCTCATCATTGCGAAGGCACGAATGGGCGAGGACGACGGCAATTATACTTGCGTGGCCGAGAATATGGCCGGTGAAACGGATATATCCGTTCAAATAGTTATATCAAGTAAGTACACAATTTTCTCAACAAAGAATTATAAACAGAACTGATGCGATTTTCTATGAATACAATAAATTCTTATCGCATAACGACTCAGGAAGATTACAAATGTCCTGTCATTTTGATTTCTAGCCCCGCCAAGTATAATAAGCTCCCCAGAGTCGCTCAGTGTGATGGAAGGTGATTCCGTGACACTAACTTGTTCGTATTCCGGCATGGAACCGCCGGTTACGCACGTGCATTGGTTGAAGGACGGAGCGCAGCTGAGGGAATCGGGAGGTCCAACAAGATACCGCGTGACCGATAATCATGGCAATGTTACGCTGCATTTCAAGAGCGTTGACCTGTCTGACAAAGGGCACTACATGTGTCAAGTATTCACCACGGGTTTCCCGTCTCTGTTTTCGGATCCAGCCGTTCTCACAGTTGAAGAGAAACTTAAATTCTCACCACAGCCGGTCAATAAACGCCTAGAGCTTGGCTCTACAGCGAAGGTATCGTGTAAGGCCCAGGGTGCCACGAATCCTACGGTAAAATGGGTCAAGGAGGGCGAGGACGAGGAATTTCCCAAACATGTTCAGGATATTAATGGCACTCTACACTTCAACGGTGTATTGGAGGAGGATAAAGGACGATACACTTGTATCGCCAGCAACGCTCAAGGGTCCATCAATCACACGATTAGCATTGATGTAGTTAGTATGTATCGGTGCTTGTACGATGAATGTGAAACGAACAAGAAATTTATTTACAATATATTAATTAATAATTAATTTATATTCATTTATTTTTCACAGTCGCGCCGAAATTTACGGTACAACCACAAAATCCAACGGAGGCAATTGAGGGATATCCAGTGATGTTACACTGTGCCGCCGAGGGTGATCCTAAACCGACCATTCAATGGGATAAAGATTCTCGCATGAACAATTTAGATAATCCTCGATTCGAAGTATTAAGTAATGGAAGTTTGTACATTAAAGAAGTGTATCTTAGTGACGAGGGGAAATACGGATGTACCGCTGGCAATAGCGGTGGTTTAAAACGAGAGGAAGTTCAATTAAATGTAAAAGGTATTTGATATTATTATTATTATAATATGTTATTATAATGTATAATTTCTCGAATGACTATTTTAAATTAATTGTAATTTAATACGATCTATTTTATAATAATAAAATAACTATTATTTTAGCTGGAGATAATTATAGAGCTGACATGGATCTAGAGGCCTCTGATGATGGAACGATGATGACTAAGACTGTAACGATTACTCTTAGCGCAGCCGCGGGGTATATGGTACTCGTCGTTGGTCTCATGTTATATTGTCGCTATCGCCGTCGTCGCAGGAAGCAACAATATCTACAGGAACAAACAGAAGGTATATTGTTAATATTAATGTATGTAATAATTTGATGATGTAGCATGCATACCTAAATTAATGTGTATATTTCTAAATTTTAGAAAAAATAGAGAATGGTGATGTACAGGAGGAACAGACAGAGTTGAAGGAAACTGGGAATAAAGTAAATTCAACAAATAAGAAGAAGGAAAATCGCGATTCTCATAACAAGAGTGATGGCGCAGATACAGCTCACAGTCAAAGTAGCAATCAATCTAGGAAATCTAAGTCAAATTATGATAAAATTGCCGTTTCACGCAGCAATCTAAAGGAATTGAAGCCTCTTGGTCGGGGAGAATTTGGTGAGATTTATTCTACGAAATATCAAGTTGATGGCGATAAGGAATCCTTGGTCATGGTAAAGAGTCTGACAAACACGAAAGACGAGATTGCTCTTCAAGAATTTAAACGACATTTGGATCTTGTTCATAAACTTAACCACGAGAATGTCGTCAAGTTGATTGGTCTGTGTCGAGAGGAAGAGCCCGACTATATGATTTTAGAGTACACTGATTGGGGCGATTTGAAACAATTCTTGATTGCCTCACGAAAGGATAACAATTCTAGCCCAACGCACGAAACAAAAGCACCACGTGCACCTCAATTGTCAGTGGCGCAAATACTTTCATTATCGAATCAAGCTGCGAAGGGTCTAAAACACTTAGCTGATAATCGATTAGTCCACAAGGATATAGCCGCGCGCAATTGTTTGATCGCCAGCAACTTGACGATCAAGATCTCGCTACCATGCATGACCAAAGAGCCGTACCAACAAGAATATACGAAACATCGGAATCAGATAATTCCGCTGAGATGGCTGCCCTATGAAGCAGTGTACGAGGACGAGTATTCTACTAAAAGCGATGTGTATTCATTCTCGTGTTTAGTTTGGGAGATGTTCCATCAGGGCGAATTGCCATTTAATAAGATGAACGATGAGTCCGTGTTAACACAGCTCAAGACGCAAACACTCACGTGGAAACCGCACAAAGCAGCGCCACCGGCTCTTCAAGAGCTGCAAACTCAGTGTTGGGCAAATGATCCACGTGAGAGACCGACCTTTGATGAGGTTGTGTCGAAAATAGGCGAAATTGTGGTTGATAGTTGCCTGTAGGCTATTATCGCGACCTATTTGTACGAGGCTCTGAATATTGGAAATACTGCAATAGGGGTAATGATTGTGCGGAGCTGTATATCGAGAGGTAAGGCTGACGAACGCCGATGATCACGCGGTAGTGATCTCTCCCATATGAGGAGGAGGGACCCGAGAAAGCCGTGGTTTTGCGCGAGAATAATTAACCGGCTTTCATGTTAAATGCTTCGTATCGATTATATATGCATAATGAATTATAGGAAACCCTACTCTTTTGCAAAAGGAAAATGCTTGCTCATTAATCATTGAATGCGCGAGAATTATGTGTCCTAATGACATCGTCGCAAATCGTGATGTATAGATTTTACGCAGAATTTAATATTTCGCATCGATGCGTGTCATTTAATCCACGTCGTTGCATATAATCAAGTGAATAACACTGAGGAGAGTTTTGATATATTTTATGGATCTCACTTCAGAAATTATTACATCATATTTTGTGCAATCTTGGATTTTTCTATTGTTCCGCGAATGTCATTTTCCAAAATCGCACTAGCGAAATCTCCCATAAATTTCCGTGAGGTACGATCATTGAACGTTATATCTTGATCTCTACTGCTTCCCTGTTATAGATTATGAAATAGAATGAGATAAATTAAATCATTGGTTCCGCAATAATTATTCATATTACAGTATTTTGTCGCGCCCACTAGCTCGGTAAGAAAATCATATTTATTTCGAATAGCATCTCCAATCTCCGTTCCAATGACTGTTCTTCTATCGTTGGACTAAATAATGATCTGTATGGACCCATACACGTTATTATGCAATTAATGCAATATTTAGTATACAGTATCGATATAATATTAAGTATCATCACCACACATCGAATACTCATAAGATACATTAATTGTTAGGTGAGCCGAGGCCGAAAATTGATAAGAGAAATGTTCAATCGGATCGTACGAAATTACGCGGGCGGTCTCGATTGAACGTTCGAAGATCGGACTCGGCGCTGCAATGACATGCATATTAAGAAAGTATCACGACCATATCAAATCGACGAAGAAAATCTTATCTCCGCCTATTTACTTCTACACTGCTAAGACATAAAAAGAAACTTTTTATAACATATATTATTTATAACGTATATATTTATGTGTGATAAGAACGCAATCGACCACTCGTATTTGACGAAAAAGACGGCCTTGTACATATACCGATGGTATGCAAGTATACATGTAAGTTGTTTTTTTAAAGCGCGAAAGACTAGCGTGAATCATCATGTTAATTTTCATTAATATAATCATTCGAATCCTCGATGGCTTTTTATTAAAGAATTTCGTAAAAAAGTTTCGTATATATTGGTATCAGAGGTGAAAAGATCATGGCGTGTACGGCTAGAAGCTGAGCACGCGAGGAAAACGATAAAACGGCATATACAGAATGACGCTTGAAAAACCTATTTTTACATGCGGAAATTAGAATCGATCGGATCAGAGACGAAATATCGCTCGCGATATTTTTGCATTCGAGATCTACGATTTGATAAGTAGCGCGAACAATCTATGTATTTGACGCGATGGTCCAATAAGAAGGATGTGCTGAATATATATTCGACTCCGTATCCGATTTATACAACGAATATCAATGTTTATATTTTAACAGTACGTAAGTTTTAATGTCGTCCCTATTTTTGCATTTAATTCTACTGTAAGAGAGATTGTAAAGGAGAAAACTCGCGAGGCAATTATGGTGCGCACAGTCGCTTCTTCCATTTCATGCAAGACTTCCGTTGATGCTTCGTAAGCTAAGTGTTTGCAGGGTACAGAGAAAGAACCACCGGTAAAGGTAACAGTTTTTAAGTCGTGCGGGATAGACAGCGTTAGAGAAGTGCTCGTAATGAAAATAATCATATTGCTATAACTTGTTTCACATTGGATATTACGAGTACTTACCGCTTTTAATAATTTTTGAAGAATTAAAGCGCGCATAGAGCCGTACAAATTCAGTTTCGTCAATTGTAGTTTCGGCAATGCAGTTCAGTAGAGCTTCACGTATGTATATTTTATAATATTCTACATGAAAGTACTTATGGCTTTTGAAACAAAAAAATAATTTTTTGTTGATCTCAATATCGATTTTTAATTAGATATATTTTAACAGGTGTAAAACAATACCTTCGGTAAGAAATAGTGATTTATTGGACGTAAATAAAATCAATCGCGCAACTTGTTTAATTTAATACGTGTTTGCAGCAACGAAAAGAACTGAATGTGGAATCAATTGAAAGGAATAGAAAAGAAACAGATCAATGAAACTAAGTTGCTTTAGTATATGTTTGTTATAGGTAATTCGTCCAAAAATTCTCTTTCAAGAATTTCTATTTCTCAGAAAAATTTGATGTTTCTTTCGAGGAGTAATTATAAATGACTCTTCGGCTCTGTGCATGCTAATATAAATATGGTGTATCATATACACATATTAGATATAAAATACTGACGTATAACACTGTCAACGATAAATACTGTTCTCTATAATTTACTAAAGCACTCTTGTTACTGAAAGAAACGCGAGGCAATTCGCGAAGGCACTTTGCCTGTGAAAGCATCGTCGTATATTCGTGGACACTCTAATTAAGAATATGTAAAAGCACGAAATATATGAATAATCTTTCAAAGTTACCCGAGCGGCGTCTCCTACAATTTTTATAATGCTTCCTAAATGTTCACTATATACGTCAAGAAATATTCTTGTGATCAGTGATGGCAAACGTATTTAGTAATATAAAATCCGTCGCGTACTTTTACATTTAATTTGAAGAAAAGGCTCGACAGATGCAGAGAGGATTAAAATTGTTCAGGTGAAAAAATTAGTTAAAATTGGAAGCGTGTCCAAAGTACTTTCGCAATTCGTAATACGTATTCAGTAGTAATACGAATTATCGAAATAATTCGATAATTCTATTATTGAATAAGGAACCTCCAAAGTTCGCATTTGAATGAAATAGGATATTAAGTTACGCGGAAAGGTATGAAGGTCCACACATCTACAGAAGTATTTTTAAAGCACGGAGTATAATCTAAATACGGCCCATCACTGCTTGTAACATAAAATACGCTAGAAATATACGTTACAGCGATCTCTAATCCGCAATTACACGTATGTAAAGTTAAGATCCAATTATCCAAGTCCTATGTGCTCATATCATTCGCTCAGATATTATCTAATCGTGAACGACCATCACTGCCATAAAGAAGGTACATCAATCGATGTGCCGGCGAGTTTCGTGAAGGCTACTATTATGTCCAATATGTCTAGTCATATATGATGACAAAGTGAACAGCGTACGGGAAGCTCATTTGAATGACGTTCATATCCTTAGGCGTTCCAAATCGATTTCTTTTTTACAGTATTTTGTAAATATTTGTACTTTTTTATCTACGTCGTACTTATGAATTTTTGGAATAGTATGTGCTACGATTAAATAAAGATGAGAAAAAAAAATACAATGCGTATCATGATTTCATTGTGACCCATATCCTTATCAGAACCTTATCTCGTATTAACGATAAAAAACTAACGATAAAGAACAGATGATTTATTTTATCTCTTGTGGTTTTAACTTTATTTTAAATCTTATTTAATAGTTATATTTATTTTTTATTATAATAAAAGTTATCGCAGAAAATTATAATTTCTTTTATTTTTAAGAAAGAATTATTTAAATCTATTTGAAATAAAAATTGACTATGTAAAGTGAATAAATTCACTATCCGAATACACATAATCGTTAAACCTTTCAATAAATAAAGAGTTTCGAAAAAATACAAGGACATAATGAAAGAAAAGATCAATCTTACAATTTTTCCATGTGTCTAAGAAATACGTTAGAGATGAAAAGATTTAAAAAAAAAAAGGATACATGCTATCGTGATTGAAATATTTGTGAGTATTAGAGAAAGGAGTGGCGTATTACCTAATCAAATTTATTTTTACTTAATATTTCATGGTACAGTCTATACCTATTATGATATATAAAATAACGTAGTCGTCGAATGCAAACAGGTTCAACGAAAGCAGAAACGTCGACTGAGTAGCGCCCAGAAAAGAAAGGTGATCGAACGTCCGAAATGAAACGTGTAAATCATCGATGTGAACGTAGTAATGTGAGAAGTGCGTTTAGTCTTTTATGTGTGTTTATATATTTATATGTAAAGTCTAAAAAAGGTGAGGATGAGTCACTTAATTCTTTAGTACTTAATTCATTAATACAGCGTAGCAGCCTCACTCTCTAATAGTACTAAATATAATAATGGTATAATGCGATAATTATATCGTTAATATAGATTATTAACATTATAAATAATATAATCGTCAGAATTCGTATAATAAACAATGATACAAGGTATTTTTGTCGTTTTAGTTTTTTAAATTGTTATCATATAGTAATAATCACAATAGCGTATTCTGAAAAATAGATTAGGGTCCCGTGGGCAGAGGGCGGAGTGCCTCACTTCTTCCGAACAAATTTCTTTCCATTTCGTTTCGTTACTCTTTCCTTTCTCTCTTTCGCTATCCGTCGCGCTTTAAAGTTCTCCACGGGTGCCCGGAACCTAAATTGGACGAGGATCTCAAGAACGATTGTAAGTCTCGACGGGAGCTCGCAAAGCCCGTACAGTAGTTCTTCTCGTCTATGTAATCCTTTTTAATTGCGCCGCAAGGACTCGAAGTAGTCACGAAGAATCGCGCTGGGAATTCAGCGATATTCAACTACGTTTCGCACAACGATCGCTGTTCGTTTTTATGTGACAGTACCAAAAAAGATATCGCATCGCTATTTCATCGCCAGGAGTACACTTATGTAGTTTCAAGTCATTACATGAGTTATTACAAGATTCGAATGTTCCGAAGACAATCGATCGACGATGAGGCTCTCACGGAGTCTTGATAAAACATTTTGTGTCGTTCGACCAAATGCCATAGTTGTCGACGATTTATAACGATCTTCCACGACTTTTCGACTTTCAACGCATATCTCGTTGATTGAGAATTCATACAAATCTATCGTCGTTTCTTCCAGGTACACTTCGGGTGTATTTTATTTATTAGTAAAACTAAACTGCGCCGCCACCTCTAACTTGTCCCATTTCCTTCCTATCCAACTTTCACATTTCTTCTGTTCTAGCTTTCCTATTTTTTCAT